CTTTGGAATAAAGATCAGGACTGCCTGAACATTGTGCCAGCAATTGAAGAGTCTAGGAAAGTAGTTGCAGCAGCACAAGGTAGGTTTTTTCCAGTTAGTCTGTTGAAGAATGGAATAGAGCAGGAGTGATTTTTCCCTTTGCTAAGTTTTATTGCACAAGTAAATCTGTATTCTCACATTGTTTTGCATTTGTGCTAGCTAAGCTTTGACGAATGTCGTTTTTGTCACTTGAATGGTACAGTTTTTTGTGTTCAGTAATCACCTGTAAATAGCAATCAATTTTCATATACAGTAAATTTTTTCTTTTTTAATGGTTAGTTTCTAACTGTAGGAAGACATTCCTTACTAGGCTATCAAGACTTTAGAGCATATGTACGTTTCATGTAAACCCTGTACACATAATTTGAAGTTTATTCTGTGGGTACGTTTTTATGACAAATGCTAACCTGAGAGAATAGTGTAAAGGCACATATTTGCAAACTGAAGTATCAAATATTGTCACGTATTGAATAATTTCACTGATACCAGGTTAGGAAGTGAAGTATTGTACAAGCAATTCTGTTATTTCAGGGAAGATCAGTGGTGCCTTTAGGAGTGTAAGGTAATAGACGATAGGGCACTTATGCATTTATTAATAGTTTTCATAATAGATTTCAAGAAGGACAATCTTGGGAAACAACTCTCATGGTTGTGTCTTGTGGGAAAGATAATTCATAAAAATGTGTGTCCCATCTGACATTATTGCTACCCAAGCTATCAGTGATGAATCTGGAAATGAAAGATAATTAAGGTAGCAACTTGGATTTCCTGTGATAGAGAAGAAAGTACATTTTCTTTCTCTTTTAAAATCTAAATCTAACAGAGAGCAGAAACTGCTCTGATGCATTCTTGTGTTTGTTGTTTCCCCCCCACAGAGTGTTTAATGAGATTGTATTTGTATGTATCGGGAGATGGCAGAAAGGCACTACTAACTACTCCTACAGCATGTGTCTTTTTGTGGGAGAGCACAGAACATGAGAGTACATCCTCGTATAAAAATTCTTCTTCTGGGCATTGGACACAGATTTTGCCCAATGAATCAGTTGTGTTGCCTTCTACTGAAGAAAAAGAAATTGGAGTACATGCTGCTTTTATACAAAATGAGGTAAATAATAAGCCCTAAAGCTATAATTTAATCTCTTAAGTAAATTAGAGCCACAGAAGCTAGAGTGAATTTTGAGAGCAATGCCTGCCTCTACATAGTTCTAAATGACATTATGATATTTAATCTGAATTGTAATTGCTATTGCTCAAAATATATAAATAATTAAAGAGAAAATGGTGTGTAGCCAGATTTTTGTGTTTTTTTCTGGTTTTGATTGTGATTTATTTTTTTGTCACAGATACTGGGTGATTGCTGTTTGTGCTCTTTTGTATTTTACTCTGGAGAATGTTTGATGCTCACATTTCTAATTCTTCGATGGCAAGAAAATAGCTTTAAGTATGTTAGGTAAGTTTAAAGACGTTTGAAGTTACGTTAGCTTAAGAAGAAGATTTTTATGATTAAGTGCTTTAGAGCAGGGATTTAGAGCTGGGATTCAGAGCGGCAATTGAGCGTGTTTACACTGATGTCCAATTAGCCTATGGCTACAAGCACTTTGATTGCATATGTATGCTCATAGCATTCCATGTTATATATGCATAAATGTTCCATATATGCATCATGGACATATATGGTCATTTTTATGGTATTTAAATGTGACAAATGTAACAGCATTTATTTATGTATGTATTCCATATTTCAATAGTAACTTGAAACTGAGTGTATTACTGTACGTGGGTGGCTGTGTATACATACACATGCCTGCACACTTGTATGTTAGTGGCACGGGTTTTTTTGCATCATGCTAGTAGAGTTTCCTTCTCTGGTTTTTCTTATATTACTAGTGCAAAATCTTGCTCTACGCTTGACATGGTACAACTGCTTTTAGGATCAAAAAAACATAATTACTAAGTTGTTAAATGATGTCCTCCTTGTCTTACTAAGCAGCAGCGCATTTTGGTCAGTTTGTCAGCAGCATGGTAATGCTTTTCTGGTAGTACAAAAATTTAAATAGAGCATTCCCAGTATAGAATTGCATATAAATACTGTAGTACTTGCAGCCTGAAATTGTAACCACATTTCTCTTGTTATGTTACTCATACTTTCTTTATGCCAACTATCAGTCCGTTTCATTAATTTAATTTTTTTCATGTTAATGCTTTATGTTTTGCCTTGTTAGGTGGCATGTTTCCCTGTGGAATCTTTCTTGAGTTTTCTATACTACTTTGAATCTTTAGGATCACAGAATGGTTTGGGTTGGAAGGAACCTTTGAACATCGTCTAGTCCAACCCCTGTGCTGTGGGCAGGAGCAACTTTCACTAGATCAGGTTGCTGGAAGCCCAATTCAACGTGACTTTGAACACTTAGAATGATGGGGCTTCCACAGCTTCTTTATTCAGAGCAGCATACCGTTAATTTTCATTTGTGAATTTTGAGTGTTCCTGTGTTGGATGACATTACATTGTCTCAGGAAGCTGTTCCTGGCTGGTATGCAAGTGCCTTAATTACATGGCATCCTTCTGTATTTATTTGCATGTTCTATACTTATAGCCCAAATTCCTGTCTCATAAAAATAATTCTCAGTTCTCAGAAATAATTTTTAAACTAGTGCAAATGAAAAATAGCTTTCATTTGTAAGGTTTTTGAGGAAAAATAGATTTTTTTGTTACTGTTCATGCTTTATTATTTTTTGCTGTCTTTCATGGTTTTTCACTATGTGTGAACCATCCCATTCACCATAACTGAGTAACCTCTTGGTTTTTTAGTGGTTTTTTGTTTGTTTGTTTGTTTTTTGTCTGGTGTTCAGTTCTTTGCCATACCAGATCCACTGGGTACAGCAGACTTGCTCTCTTGTTAATTTGGTTCCTCCATGTGTGTCAGTAAAGTCAAGAGGAGCTTTGCTGTGTGCATTTGCAAGAGACGGACTTCTGCTTGCAGTAGCTGTTAATCAAACGGATCCAAAGGTATGAATGGTAGACAGTATGTCATTTAAAGTAATAGTTCAGTTTGAATGCAGTGGTAACAAGGATTTAGTAACACATTTTTAGTAGTGATTTTTCAGCATTCTTATTGATACATGTAGTTATATTCACATTGATATCCATAGCTCAGAAATTGTGCCAAAACTTGTAATTTTTTGAATGCTGTTGTTCAGTTGAGAAATCCATGTAGACTTCTCTGTCATTTCTAATCTCCAAGAAGTGTAATAATAAATTAATTTCAGTTACTGCATTTATCTGCAAAGATTCTGGATTATTCTCAGTGAGGCCTCAGCCTAACATGTATTGGAAGTAATGTTCTCACCTCTCAATGTTAATCCTTCTAACAACTCAGAGGTCAAATCAAATGTGGTTTTTAGTGCTACTGACTGGCAACATGGACCATCTTATTTAGTGCACCAAGATGAGATGGTGCAGTCCTTCAAAGCTCCGATTGTTGCTCACCACCAAGACTGGAGAAGAGTGATCTTACATTATTTTGACGGTTTTAGAAAAAATTATGTCAAAATGAATATTGAATGATATGCTGATTACCTACTCATCTTTATTTTTCAAATGTAGGAATAGGTATAGAAATTAGTAAATACTCTAAGTAGCAATAAATGTTGTAGTGCAATGTCACTTAGCTGTATAATAATGTTTCCAGTACATCAAGTGTCATCTATAACTTGTTAATAGAAATTCTTTGTTTACGGTAATGGTGTTTTGATATAAACATTTATGTTTTCTTTAAATTTACTTTTTCTCTCTAGGCAACTCAGATTTTGTTTTTAAACACATTGAATTTTGTAACTGTTTCGGGTAGCCTTAAAGGTTGTAGTAGCAAGAACAGCAAGGTCCCGTCCAAGTTTATCAGGTCAGTAATGGATGCTGTTCCTGCTGCTGTTGTGCAGTTTGTTGTTCTGTGCTACGGGTGTTTGTGGTTTTTTTGTTTGGTTTGGTTTTTTTGGAGGGGATTGTTTTGCTTGGTTTTTTAGCTCTCCTAACCTTTTGATACAGAAATTTGACAGAGAAAAATATTTTTTCTTGCCCAAATTAGATCTTACTGGGTTGGCGATATGAGTTGGAGTCCCGACAGCCTTTTCTTGGCTTGCATGTTAAAACGCGGATCTTTGATTTTATTGACATGTATGGGTGAATTGCTGACCTTGATTACTTCTGGCTGCTCTGTAGAATTTGGACCAGCAGAATTTATTCCATTTCATCCACTAATAACACACAGGTAAGAGGATTAGGAAATGTTTATATGTTTTTCTCATATGATCATATCTAACTTTCTAACATGTTTTTTACAATTTTACATAAACTTCATCTTTCAGATTCACTCTTCTGCTTTTCATGTGTCTTCTCAATATCTGTTTCTCATTCATAGTTGTCATCTATTTCTTATAATGTTTGTTGTGATGAAAGTTGGCATTGTGACAATGTAAGTATACATTAAGAGATTTGGCTTTTTTAAAGTGTTTGAATTTAGTGCTAATTAAAAATAGCATATTTTTGTGATGTAAAAAGAAATTACACTTCATACTTAAAGTGCAGATCTATTTTAATCCAGTGGTATTTCTCTGCTCACTCGTTAATTTTACCTATAGAACTTTATAGCACGTTTCTGTATCAGATCTTGGAAATAACATATTTGCATGCACTAAAACTAATTGGGTTTTTAAATGTGTTTTTTTTTGCAGAGCTCCAGATCTAAATTTTGAAATGATGCCGCTGGTTGCATGGGGGAAATAGAGAGATCTTTGTGACACTTTTTAGCATAAGTTTAAATTTACAAAATGTAACAAGAGGAAACAAAATAGAATCTGAACTTTATTTTTTTTAAAATCCTATTCCTTGAGTGGCTAAAGCTGGATAGTTTGTAAATGTGACATCTCATGAAAATGTTCAAAGCATTATAATATCTTTTCATGCTGTCTGGTTGAAAAATCAGATGGTAAAATATATTAAAGTACTCTAATTATGGTTCTTTATTGAATGTATGCAGCTACTTTGCTTCCAAATAATCTACTGAATTTTGGGCTACGAAGAAATAAAAATCCCAGTAGTTCTTACGTATTTTTTCAAAGTCTTTTGAGGCTAATATTTGAATGCATGCCAAACACAGCTTTCTGAAACTCAGTGAGCAGTGACTTCTTTATAAGAAAAGACTTTGTAAGACCTCTTTTTTTAAAAGAAGACTTATGTGTTGATAGAAAATACTTCTATTGAATCTCTGAACTGATTCTGCCATACTGAGATTCAGATTGTGAGGGATGTTTTGTTTTTCATACGTAACTATTAGAAGCTACTTAGAATTTAATCTTCAAGCACTTGTCATACACGATAAGAGCTAGATAATCAAAATGAAATTGTGAGAAAGAGATATAATACTTATTAATGAAATAAGAGAATTCTGAAAGCTCTTTTTATTTTTTTCTTTAAATTAAAAAAAGTTGCAACTGCAGCAAAATACTGGCATCTTGCAAGCATAAATAGTGTTATTCAGAGTGCATATCCCGCAAAAATTTAGACACTTCCTTAGAATTCTGTGTGGACCTATTGGGCAGCAGTGTTGAGTGGTATTAAAGGTTTGTAAGTTATTTCTTCTCTATTCTGTTCATTATTATTGTGTAAGATAATTGCTTTCTATGTATCTTTATTTTAGACAGCAGCACTCTTTTTGTCAAGACTCTAGTCTGTCTCTTGATTCTTCAGCTTCTGAACGTGACCTTATGAGACAGAGATTCTCTGTTGCTTCACATTCAAGATTACCCTACCTCATTGTCTCTGATGGATATATGATAACAGTGCTTAGATTTCATAAGAACCTCTCAGCATCAGGATTTATAAGATCCCTTTTGCTTGATTCAACCCAACAGCTTGAAAATATCCGTCGGAATTTGCTGAACTGCAAGGTATGAATATGAATTATTTCGTAGGCTTTAAGTAGAAAAAAAACCTTTGTGTGTGTGTAAAAATGCATGACTTTTAAACTGAGTACCTCAGTTAAGTTTACTGTAGTATGTGTATAAAGTTGTTTTGAGAACAGTGTTGATCTGGAGAACAACAAATACGCAGTTTTCTCTGAAATTTTAGTCCTTTGATGTCTGAATTGCATTTCAGTAAAATGTAGTAAAAGGACACAGTCTTAACCATTACTTTATTTTTTTTTCTGGAACTGTAAAAGAAATTGGGCTGTCTGTATCTATAGAGTTGGTTCCGAGCATTGACAGGTATTATGGTACTCTGACCAACTCATCCTTTCAGAACTATGCAGAAAGGATTCTATAAAACCTCTCTGTCTTAGCCTGCTACTGTTTTAGAGCAGTCAGCAACAGTCCCAATGGTGCTGCGTGCATGTGTCTGCTAGGTCCTCAATTGAAGTTGTCGACTAAAGCTTGCTTAAAGCAGTTTTGTTGATTTTTCTGTCACTTCTGAATTGGGCTAAGTCTGGGAGAAGGAAAATCTTTGAAAGAAGAGGTCCTGCGGCTGTTGCTGACCACATAAGATACAATAGATGTTCAGAGTTTTTGCATTTGCTGATAGAATACAACTTCTCTCCCAATTCAGTTTGTATTTTGGATTTTTGGAGAGGCGAGTTATTCTAGTATTCATGCATAAACTAAAAGAGTGAGCAAGTGTTTGAGGATTTAGAGATACATGTTACTAGTAAGAAAGCAAGAAAGCCCTACATAGTGCCAAACTTGTAGCATCACTTCAGGGACCAAGAAAGCAGATTCGTTCAGCATGAAGCAAAGTCAAGTCTGGTACTGAAAAAAAATCTGCATTCCTAAAGCATGGTGAAATGATAGTTTGTTTCTGTGCAGTGTATGCCTGCTGACCTGTTCTCCCTTTCTGGCTAGCACTTCTAAACTGAAGCTTTTTACTGATGTGACCCATTTCCTTGTTTTGTTTAGAAAGTGTCTGGTTTGATCTTGCTAAAGACAGATAATATGTTTTGCATTATTCTTATTTCTTTTAGTCTAAAGGGAAGCCTCGGTGTTTATGGTCACTGTTGTCTTTAAAAGCTAGTCTTTTAAAACACGCTCAAAACCAAAGTTCCATCTTTTCCACCATTCCAAAATTCTTGGAGGAGGACAGAACAGAAATGAGTGAGAAAACTGTGGATTTACTGGTACGTAATAGCATTTTTCCACTTACAAGTTTGTAAATGATTTAATTTTAAGGTATTCTAAATATAAATAGTATTTTTTCTTTCAAATAGTATAGGTATATTTGCTCTTATTAGGTATATTTAAAGGAATTCAATTTTGGTTGATTCTCATGTTCTTTATAAGTGTGAGGAATATTGTTATTTTTCTCAGCTGATACGAGATTTTTACTTTCAAACATTTCCTTCAATAACTTTTTGAAAAATATGTGCTAATCTACATATACATCAGTTTATTGTAGTTTAATACTTTAGCTTCACTTTATGGTAAAATGTAACATTACTAAATTCACTGGGGCAATAAAGGATATTAATAAGAAGTGCAGTATTATTATCCTTAGTAGGTAAGATATTTATCGTCAGTTTTGCAGGATTCTTCTACCAGTTCCAAAATCTGCACATGTCTTTTGGACATGGTGCTGTGATCCAGGTTACTGTGCAGACTTTCCTAGCTCTGTTTGATGCTTTAGGGTTTTGATTTGGTCTTTTAAGTTTATGAACTTCTGTTGAATGGCTTTTAGACCTTAGAGATACATGGCAAAAACTCTTCCTCATACTCTGGCCAGGGTTTCACTTTCTGCTGTAAGAACTAATGCTGTGTTTATGCTGTAATATTTTTGTTGCTAGGTAATTTAATTTCTGCTGCCCAGCTATTCCAAATAACCACATTTGGTTTGAGATCCAAATGAAACTGCTGTGAATTAAACTTACTAGTAATTAAGCAAGTTAATGAAACATAAGGATTTCATTTTTGAGACTGACTAAATGGCAATTCCTTGCAGGCTATACTCTCTCAGTAGACTTGAATTAAACTATGCACTTTTTTTTTTTGTCTGATTTAGGGTTGTGAAGAAGAATCAGATGATGAAAAGCAGTTTTGCAATAGCCCTTCCAGCTTTGGTAGCCAAAGAATCCATCCGTTTGTTGGTAAAGCTGATCAAGGCCACTTAGAATTTGCGTCAATGTTCGATACTATCCATGCAAAAGACAATACTGAAGAGAAAGATAAATTACCAGTGGAATTATATTCCGTTCAGAAAAACCTCCTTGCTGCATGGCAAATTGGGATTTCAAAAAATATGGAAGAGAAAGATAGGTTGCTGAATTACACGGTGAACTGCATTATCCATTTTTTCAATGTTCTTCAGTTTGTGAAATGCTCTTTGCTAAACCAGGATGCATCTTTAAACAAGCCTGTGAAGAATACTCACTGGATGCATTGTGTTCTGAAATATTTTCAGCAGTGTTTAACTGTCTTGTACTGGCATTCAAGAGCCAGTCTTACTGGGCACGTGGCAAATCTGACGTTACAAACTTTAAAATTGATGCTTACACAGCAACAAGATCAGTTGTTCTCAAAAAACCTTTTGGCATGCTTCTGTCTTTTGAAAATGGTTTCGCACACTTTAAGTAACGTGTGCGTACTACAGTATGAGAGTGTTTTTGCATCTCCCCATGGTAATAGTCTCATGGAACTTGACTCCCTCACTACACCTATTCTCACAGTTCTTGATGAAAGTACAAGTCAGCAATTTAGCTCACTGAAATCTCTGCTTAGAAAACCTCCTCAAGTGGTAAACCATGATGCAAAAACAGAAAAAAGGTACGAATGATCTTTGCATGGGAGGGGGAAATATATGCTCCCTGAAATGCCTGTACAGTAGTGCGCGCAGCATGGGAAATAAGCAGGAG